TAGTGATAGTTTCATTGCTGTGCAGAAGCTTTTTAATTTGATCAGGTCCCATTTATTTATTTTTGTTGTTGCTGTGATTGTTTTTCGGGTCTTCATAAATTCTTTGCCAAGGCCAATGTCTATAAGAGTTTTTCCAATGTTTTCTTCGAAAATTCTTGTGGTTTCATGCCTTAAATTTAGGTCTGTTATCCATCATGAGTTGATTTTTGTGAGAGGTAAGAGGCACAGATCCTGTTTCAGTCTTCCACATGTGGCTATTCAATTTTCCCAACACCATTTATTGAATAGGGATTCTTTTCCCAGTGTATATTTTTATCTGCTTTGTAAAAGATCAGATGACAATATGAAGATGGTTTTATATCTAGATTCTCAGTCCTGTTCTATTGGTTAATGTCTCTGTTCTTGTGCCAGTGCCATGCAGTTTTGGTTACTATAGCCTCGTAGTAAGCTTGAAGTAAGATTGATGCCTCCCAATTTGTTCTTTTAGCTTAAGATTGTTTTGGCTACATGGGGTCTTCTCTGGTTCCATATGAAGCATAGCATTATTTTTTCTAGATCTGTGAAAAATGATGTTGGTGTTTTAGTAGGTACTGCCTTGAATGTGTAGATCACTTTGGGTAGTATGGACCTTTTAACAATATTGATTCTGCTGATCTATGAGCATGGTATGATTTTCCATCTGTTTACATCCTTTGCAATTTGTTTTCTGTGTTTCACATTTCTCCCTATATAGGTCTCTCACCTCCTTGGTTAAATATATTCCTAAATATTTTATTTTCTTTGATGCTATTGTGAAAGGTATTGCATTTTTCATTTGATTCTCAGATTCTGTTATTGGCGTATATGAAAGATACTGATTTGTTTGTGTTAATTTTGTATCCTGAAACTTTGCTGAATTCATTTATCAATTCCAGGAGTCTCTTGGTTAAATCTTTGGGGTGTTGTAGATATAATTTCATATCACGTGCAAAGAGCGATAGTTTGACTTCTTCTGCCCCCATTTGGATACACTGATTTCTTTCTCTTGTCTGATTTCTCTGGCAAGCACTTCTAGCACTACGTCTAATAGAAGTGGAGATAGTGGGCAACCTTTTCTGGTTCCAGTTATAAGTAAGAATGCTTTCAGCTTTTCCTCATTTCGTATCATGTTGGCTATGTGTTTGTTGTATATGCCTATTTTGTTAAGAGTTTTTATTTCTTTTCAGGATATTATGAGAGTACAAATCTTTTGGTTACATTTTATGACTTTGCCTCACCAAAACAGGGATTAGAGGCATACCCTTCCCCTCTAAATGCTTGCTGTGTCCATTAGTTGTGAACTTATCCCCCAACCCCCTAATCCCTGGAGAATATTACTACCATGTGAGCACCATAGTGTTGATCAGTTAGTGCCAATTTTATGGTGCGTATATGTGGAGCCTATCCTTCTGTTCTTGTGATACCTCACTTCAGAGGATGGGCTCAAGCTCTATCCAGAAAAATATTGTTAAGAGTTCTTATCATAAAAGGGTGCTGAATTTTGTCAAATGCCTTTTATGCATGTATTGAAAGGATCACATGGTCTTTGTTTTTGTTTTTATTTATATGGTGAATTACATTTAAAGATTTCATATGTTGTACCATCCTTGCATCTCTGGATGAAGCCCACCTGGTCATGCTGAATTATTTTTTTGATGTGAAGTTGAATTCAGTTTGCTAAGATTTTATTGAGAATTTTTGCATCTATATTCATAAGGGGTACGAGTTTTCTTTTTTTGTAAATAATCTATTGCTGAATGATTGTTAGGTCAGTAGTTTGTAGTTTTCTTTTTTTGTTGTGTCCTTTCCTGGCTTTGATATCAGGGTGATATTGGCTTTATAGAATGAATTGGGGAGGATTCCATCATTCTCAACGTTGTAGAATAATTTCTGAAGTATAGGTACCAGTTCTTCTTTATAGGTCTGGTAAAATTCAGGTGTAAACCCATCTGGCCCGTGGCTTATTTTTTTATTGGAAGATTTTTTTATTACTACTTCAATTTCAGTGTTTGATATTGGTCTGTTCAGAAATTCTATCTCTTCCTGATTGAACCTAGCGGGGTTGTGTGTTTCTAAGCATTTGTCAATTTCCTCCACATTTCCAAGTTTTTAGGCATAGAGATTTTTATGGTATTCAAAGATGGTGTTTTGTATTTCCATAATACCAGTTGTGACTTTTCCTTTTTCATTTCTCATTGAGCTTATTAAAGTCCTTTCCTTTCTGTCCTTTCCTTTCCGGTCAATCTAGCAAAAAGCCTGTCAAGTTTGTTTATGTTTTCAAAGAACCAACATTTTGTTTCACTAAACGTCTGTATAGTTCTTCTGTTCTCAATTTCATTTAGTTCTGCTCTAATCTTGGTTATTTCTCTTCTTTTGCTGGGTTTAGGATTGGTTTCCTCTTTCTTCTCCAGTTACTTGAGATGATTCATTAGTTTGTTAATTTGTGATCTTTCTGTCTTTTGGATGTGAGCATTTAAGGCTGTGAGTTTTCCTCGTAGGACAGCTTCTGCTGTATCGCACAGGTTTTGATAACTTGTGTCCCCATTATCATTTAGTTCCAAGAATCTTTTGATTTCCATCTGCATCTCTGCCTTGACATAACAATTATTCAGCAATAGATTATTTAATTTCCATGACTTTGTGTAGTGATGAGTGTTTCTGTTGGAATTGATTTCTAATTTTATTCCACTGTGATCTTAGAAGACACATGCTATAATTTTTTTTTAATTTGTTGAGATCTGTTTTGTGGCTATAATGTGATCAATTTTAGAGAATGTTCCATGAGCTGGTGAGAAGAATGTATATCCAGTGTGGATGTTCGTCAATGTCTGGTCATTGAAGATTAGGTATTTATTTTAATCTTCACAGTCTGGGCTTGTTCGAACCTATCCTTCTTGAGAGGGCTTTCCTGATATTCAAAGGGAATTTAGTGTTGTGATCTATGTCTCTCCAGTACTGTCTGCAGTACTGGAGATGCCACAGGCCCAGTAATGCTGTGACTCTTACAGATTCCTGGTGGTCCTGCCTTGATGGACTTGGGTAAGATGCAAGAGAATTCCCTGGATTACCAGGCAGAGTCTCCCTCTCTTCCCTTACTCTCTGTGCTAGGCTGTTGGAGTTAGGGGAGGAATAATGTGGGCACTGCTTTGTGGCCACCAGCACCAGGTCACACCTGAAGCTAGCCTAGTCTCATCCAAAGCCCATGGTGACTGTTACCTGGCTGCCTCTGATGTTTATTCAAAGCCCAAAGACTCTTTGGTGAGCAGGTTGTGAATCCTGCCATGACTGGGCCCTTTTATTCATGGCAGCATGTTTCCATCTGGCCCAGGGTGGGTCCTGAAATGCCTTCCAGGAACTAAGGCCTGGACTCAGGGCTTCAGGAATCTGCCTGGTACTGTGTTTTACTGTGGCTGAGCTGGTATCCAGGTTCCAAAACAAAGTCCACTGAACTTTTCCATTTCCTTTCCATAAGTGGAGGAAGACTTTCCTTGTAGTTGGTGGAGGGTTGACACAGGTGCTGGCTTGGCCACCACCACTGGTGTCTCACTGGGTCACGTGTACCCCAAGTCTCCTGGCTCTGAGCACAGCCTCAAGATTTGCCCAAGGACTGTAGCCTATGTGGCCCAATTGCCTTATGAATTTAGTACAGGCCGAGGATGCTTTTTGTCAGTAGGTGGTGGGGTTAGCTTAAACTCAGGTTTCAAGGTGCAGATTTTTCTCTGGCCAGGCTGTTCTAAATGCTCCCTCCTGGGAACCTGCAGAATTCTGCCCTGTGCTGTGTTCCCCTGTGCCAGGGCGGCCTTGACTTTCAATCACTTCTCTCTCTCTACCCTGCCTGGAGATGGGGGAGGGTTGGCATAGGCAATGCAAAACTGTCTTTTCTACCCTCCTCCTTGCCTCTTTCCTTGACATTAAAATATTAATATAATGTTAAAACCAGGTAGTATAATCACTCACCTGATTTTGCTTCTTCTGAAGGTGCTTGCTTACATGGATAGTTGTTGAATTAGTTGTTCCTACAAAGTGACAATCTCTGGAGGTTTCTATTATGCCAACTTGCTCCACCCCCTGCTGTCATTACTAGATTTGTCCAAAGTGTATTTCATTATTTCACCAAGTGAAATAGTAACCTTTAATATTTTTTTACTCTTTGTGAGTGTTCTAATTTCCTTGTTTCTGATTTTGTCACATGATTTCCTCCCTTTTTCTGTTCTTTAGGGATATTGTTGTCATTCTTGCTCATTATTCTCATTTTGTGCAGGAATGTTTTAGATGTTTGGATACATGGTGTATCCATTTTTTCAACAGGCAGTCTCTTATTTTATTGGTGATTTTCTTCACTTTTACTCAGGTGAGCATTTTGCTCATCTTATTGAAGTAGGTGAGTATTCTCTTTGTTATTAAGAATGGGTTTTCCCTGATACTTCTTTATGGTGTTATAATGATCATCTTTTATAAATGACACATGGATTCTTCCAGAGAAGATACACATATTACTTAGAAGGTGTCTTTTTATCATTTTGTACTCATTATATGCATATATCCCATCCAAAGGCCACTGTGTCTTCAGGCCTATACTATGCCAGTTGCTCAGGATTCTACATCCCTAGGAAATTCTTGCCTGTCTGTCCCACCCCCACTCTCACTGCCAGCTGGAGTACAGTGAATGGACTAATGTGTGTCCCGGACAACACTGGGCACTCACCGAGACCATGAACTCTGCAATGGGCTTTCAGCAGGGTCCTGAGGGTTATGATCTGGAATTGACTCTGACTAAAGTTCACATTGGACTCTAGAATGGACTCTGAGCTCTAGACTGAGCTCCAAAATGGACAGGTCCAAGTGGACACAGGTTCTGGGTTGGCCTGCACCCTAAGTATCTACCGTGGCCCTGGGCCCTAGGCTTAGCCACCCTGGACAGCCAAGGCACAACCTCAGACTTTTGATTCCTCCCAGAAGTACTCATTTTTCAAATAAAAAACAAGCTCATGGATATGTGGAAGGAAACACTGGACTATTTATTATAAAGTGAGATTGTCAGCTCAGGAAACAGGGTAAGTAGTCAGGCCCCACAAGGCCCTTCTGTAACAGGGGAACCAAGGAACAAGAGAAGGAGACCGACGGGGTGCAGGAAATGAGCTGATGTACAGAAACGGCCTCCTCTCCCAACACCAGAGTTTCCTCTGGAGAAAACTCTTCTGCTGTGCTGTTTCCACCTCTCTCTGGGCAGTGCTGGCAACATGCTCCCAGACTGAGTCTCTGATGACCACAAAGGAACTCCAGGAACCTAGAGCGTCCTCAGGACTGAGCAGCAGTCTGTGTGTCTCAGAAGCCGAGCCTGAGTCAGTGGAAGCAAGCAATTTTCTCCTCTGGGCCTCTGTCCTGGCAGGAAATGCAGAAGCTGTCCTGTCCTAAGTATAGGATGGCTCAGCTGCGAGCACCTGAGGCAGCAGCGATCCCACCAGCCTGGCTTAACTGTCCCTTCAGGCTGTGGTGGGATTTCCTGTACCAATGAAGAACCTGTGAAAGAGATGGCCAGTGAGGTCTCTGAGCCCTGGAGGAGAGACCCAGCCCTCCATCGTATGTCTCCACCCCAGAATTATCCAGAGAGGTGATTTCCCGAGCCTTCTCAGCCTTCAGAGCCAGATGCCCTTGGGGACAGGGAGACACTATTTCCTGTTTGGTTTGCAGCCCATTTCCTGAAGATGCTCACTGCTGCCAGAGAAAGCAGCTGGCAGAGAATGATCAGCGATGCATTTCACAGAGCCACGGGCTGGTTCCTGAGGACCCCCAGGTGGGCAGTAGTGCAGGCCATCTAGACCAGCCCAGCCCAGTGCCTGTCCTCCCCAGATGGTGCAAAGCAAGCCCAACTTGTATGTGCTAAGTCCAGACAGAGATCCCCACACTACCTGGAGCAGAATGAACAGAGTGTAAGAAGAGAGCCTGAGGAGCCTGAGCCTGTATGAGCCTACGTCATACAGGATAGAGGGGAATCTATAGTGTTTCCTAACTGGAATCTATATCCTTATTATTCATGGGATAGCCCTGAGGAGCACTATCCACATTGCATTTTTTACATGCATGCTCCTGGGGACACCATTTATATTGTGTTCCTAATGGAGGGGTCCCCTGGAGTTGTACCACACTCCTGTGGGCACCACATCTCCCCTACTCTCTGTCCTCTCAGTTGTCTGGGTATGGCTGGCCTCATCCCACTCCAGGGTTTACCTCATGCTCCAGGCACAGCCAACAAGAGCGCCTGAGCCCCACAGCTGCAGGGATGGATTTCAGAGGTGGGCATGTGACCCAAGCTGGGCTGGTCCAAACCAGTGAATGCCTGACTTAGGGATTTTGCTAGAGCTGTTGTTTTGTTTCCCCTGGAGTTATTAAGCTGCCAGGACACAAGCCTAGAGAGGCTGGTGAACACTTTCTTCTTTGTTGGAGAGCCCATGTAAGCAGGAAGCCCACACAGAGAGAAGTAAAGCCTATAAGAAAGACCAAATCCTGAAGATGTTGTTTGAGCACCGCCCAAAACCACTGCTACCTGTGAACTTTGGGATTATGTGAGATCATGAATTCCCCTTTATGACTTATGCTGTTGTGAGATGGGATTCTATAACTTCAACCTAGATAGAGCCATGTTCTTTTCCTCTGAAGAGGCTTCCCCTTTCCTTCTCTAAACTGAAGTGAGAGCCTGCCCTCCATTCCTGGATGCTCTGGAGCAGTCACCAGGTGCCCACCAGCCGGGCCGGCGACTGAGTCACACTCCTACCTAATGAACAGTCCCACCAGCAGGGCAGCTAGGAGTGGTCCCAGCCAGTAGATCCAGTGGAAGCCCCAGTAGTTGGCCATGACAGCAGGTCCAAAGGCACGGGCAGGGTTCATGCAGGCTCCAGACACATTACCCCTGCAAATAGCCAGCACACTGGTCACCAGGATCCCAGCCAGGCCCCACCTGCCCTCAAATTCATGTCCCCAACTAGACCTAGGGCCCACAGACCCCAGAAACCCTTTCAAAACTCCCATATCATTGACTCTGGGGTGGATCCTTAACACTGGGAAGCAAAAAGCCTGGCTTCTGTCTACGTATAGAGTCTGGGACTCCCCACACATCCTAAGAGAAAAATGACCAGCAAAGAATGCCTGCTTGGTGATGGCAGGAAGAGAGGCTGGATCTCATTCCTCTCCAAAGTTTATAAAGCAAAGTCAAGCAGTTGTCACCCACTTTGCAGTCCAGCTAACCTAGAGTCAAATCCCAGCCCAGCTAGTTTTAGCTATGGGAACTTCACTTAACCTCCTGTGTTTCAACTGAGGTGAAAGTGCCTGTCCCATAGGTTATTGTCAGGAGTGAATGAGAAAATGCATATAGAGCCCATACCTCACATATAATTAATGTACAATAATATGAACTATAATCTAGCCCACCCAGCTAGGCCCTTGTTTGTACCACAAGCTTGGGGCCTTGAATCTCCCGCGGGGGGACTGTTCCTCAGATCCCAGGTGCACCTCTCTAGTTCTGGGTATGGATCCTCACCCCATTCACTCAAGCTGGGGTCCTGCAGACCACATCCCACCCTGTGTCCAGCAACCAGTCAAAAGGCTTGTACATGACCCACAGGCCACTAGGGGGCAGCAAAGCACGACCACTGCTTTACACACAATCCCAAACATGACAGCTGACCCAGGAGAAGGGCTAGACTAGGTTCTTTGTCAAAAGAAAGGAAGCTGTTGGCCATTAGGGTGGGGCTCCCTCATCCTCTTGCCCCAGATCTGTCACTTAATTTGCCACTGGCCATTGACCTTAAATAAGTCCCTTCTATCCTCTCTCAGCCTCAGGTTCCTCATGTGTAAAATGGGCAAAATAGTCCCTGACCCAACCTTGTCTCCTTAATCCCTCCCTAAGGCTACTGAGATATTCAAAATAAATGAGAGAATGGCTGTGGCTACTCTTTTTAATCCTGAGGCTAAAATCTGGGTCGTCGTCCCCACCCCCCCCACCCCACCCCCGCCAAATGAACATAGCCTGTAAGAATGTTTTATTTACACAACCCAAAATGGAAAACTTCACATAAAAATCCAGATTTCTGATATTCCTTGAATGAAATTAGCTGGGTCACCTGAGACCCACCTTCTCATACCGTGACGATTGACTAGGGCTGAACTAACTGAAGGCCTCAGACACCAGAGTCCCCAACACCCCCCCGTTGTCTGCCATGTTGCCAGCCCACTGCCCCCGTCTGCAGCAACTGAGTCTGTGACCTTCAGGCCTGACCTCCTCTAGAGCCAGGACAGCACAGGTCTGGGCATGGTTGTCCCACTGCTGAGAGACACTCACCCTGCCAGGATGGCCACAGTGACAGTGAGGCCGATGTAGATTGGGGCCACAGGGCGTGTGGTCCTTTCTTTGGTGGTGCCTGTGCACACGATCAGGGCCAGCATTGTCAGGATGACTTCCGCCACCAACGCCCTCACCGCCTGCCCCTCCTCCTGGACTGTCGCAAAGGCTGCCCCAGATGTGTTCCAGAACCTCTCCTCACGACTCACCACCTGTGGAGAGAAGCCGCTGAGCTTCACGGGGCAGAGAGACAGCTGGGAGCTGAGGAAGGGGGCCTAACAGTACACACCGCCCACCTTAAGAGTCAGTGAAGGGTTATGTCAATTTAGAAGTGGACATGTCTGGGTTCACATCCCAACTCCCCCATTTCTGACTGTGTGACTCTGTGTGAGCTATGGGACCTCTCTGAGCCTTGCGTTGCTCATCTGAAAAGTGGAGATGACCGAGCGGTTGTTCTAAGGGTTATGGGCTTGAGCTTATGTAACTTAGATGACCCTCACTGAGAAAAAGAACATAAGCAAATGGGCCTTGGAGTGGTCACAGCACCTAGAGAGGGAAGACAGTGGAGCTCGCAGGCTCCTGGGTTCTGGACGTGCGCCTGGGCTCTGCTGCTCACCAGCTTGTCTGAACACGGGCAAGTTACCCACGTCTCTGTGCCGCCGTTTCCCCACCCATAAAATGTGGGTAATAATGACAGCTCCTAGGTCACAGGTAAGGCTCTTGGCATACCTGGCACATAGTGAGCGCTCTCTAAGAACCGACTATGGTTTCTCTTGAAGTTGTTGGGAAATAAAAGAACATGTGGAAAGTGCTTAGCAAGGAGGGTGTGCCCCGTGAACAGCAGCTGCTGCTGTGCACTTGTCGGAATCATGTTTGCAAGTTTCACGTGGCAGGGCTGGAGGGGCGAGTCTTATTCACTTTCCATAGGGAATTAGAGTGGGAAGGTCCGGGCCGCCTTCTACAGACAGGGAAACAGGCTGCGAGTCTCACATGGTGGCACGGAGAGACCAGGGCAGAGGGATACAGCAAAATGGGACTTTGGACCAAAGTCTGTAGTGGGCCAGGACTGACAGCTTCAGAGCCAGTCACGGCCAGGCTGACGGCTCTCCCATCCACCACACACAGCAAGCAAGGCCCAGGTCTTGAAGTGTCCCTGGTTAAACTGATACTTAAGGGTAGAAGGAAGGAAGAAAAGAATAGAGAGAAGAAAGGAGGAAGAGGAAAAGAGGGAGGGAGTCCATCCCTGGACTTGTATGTAGAGCTATAAAAATTCTGTGGCTGAGAGGAAGAGCTGGCCTTCCTGATGGGGCAGGAGGATTCCTACCATGAATTGAATATCCACTCCCATCAAAGGTAACTCAGTTTAAAGGGAAGGAAACTGGAGAATACACAGAGAAATTAATGCTGGAATCTCTCAAGGGTAATAATCATATTCATCCTGAATCCTCAGTGCTTAGTGAGATGTTTATAGAATGAATGAACAAGTGAATCAATGAGCAAATGAATGAAAAAACATTAGAACTATCTTAATCAACTCCACAGCCAGAAATGGGCTCAAGAAGAAAAATGCCAAGTTCTGAGTGTGCTTTCTGGTCTGTAGGGAAGGGATGTGTCCAGATGGGAACAGAACAGGGTAGGATTGGAGGGAATGAGGCCCACATAATATGCCCCACTTCAGTAGGAAAGGGTCCTCCCCATTCCACCAGCAGAAATAAGCCAAGAGTTGGGCCTTTCCCCAGTGCCCGCTGCCCCCCATACACACACACCACCCTCCCAGTCCCCGAGGGTCACCCACCTTGGCCAGGGCAGCCCCGATCAGCCCCCCAAGCAGCTGGGAGATCCAGTAGGGAATGAGCATCATCAGGGTGAGGCCTCCACTCAGCATGGCTGCCAGGGACACCGCAGGGTTCAAGTGTCCCCCACTGTAACCCACAAGAGCAGAAGGAAGTCATGAGGCTACGGTCCAGGACCAACCACGAGTCTGTCACTTGAGACAGTGTGCCCTCTGCAGCTGCCCAGGCTGGCCTCATGGGGCCAGAGTCAGTCCAGGGTCCAGCCCAGATAGGAAGAGGCACCAGATAGCTCCCATTTTCCCTGAGGTGCTGCATGGTGGGGTGACAGACAAGGGGGGATCTAAGAGAAGGAGGTAGCAGCCCCTAAGCCTAAGCCCAGACCCCAGGATGGCCCCAGAGGAAGAATGTGTGGGGAGACTGTCCTATAACTCCTTCTAGACTCCCCCAGAGCTCCCTCCCGCCTCCAGAGATGTGGCTACAGCTCAGACTGATGAGTTAGTAGCCCTGGCCTCCCCTTATAGGTAGCGAGGCTCAGAATGAGAGCTCTTGCTATAACTGCTCAGCCAAGAAATGCCCATTTGTGATCTGAGAGTGTGAGGAGTGAAACTCCAAGGTTAGGATTCAGGTTGGAAATGGCGTTGAGAACTAGGGGTGAGGTGGGGGTTCCTGATCGGGTCAGGGATTGGGATCAGGAGTTTGGGATGAGCATGGGAGCTAAATGAGTCAGAACCTAGGGTCATAGGGCAGCTTCCAGTTGGCTGCCCCCTGCCTTGCTCATGAGTAAAGAGCTTTCTGTTCATCAAGATATTCAACTAGCCTCGGCCCCAGAGCCAGGAGGCCCCCAACCTCCTGCACCCCATTGGTATATATGTCCCAGCACCACTCTTATGCAGGGACTGTTCTCAGAGGTTGGCCTATTGCATCCCTCTGGTTCCTGGGAATGGATACCCTTTAATAAGAGGGAACCCATGACCCCATGACCCCCGACATCACACAAGAGCCAAAGTGCCCCCAGATGTTAACAGCCCAACAGTGAGCCTGCCCACCCCCAATGAGCACATGGCATTGAGCTGAGACTGGACAGAGGACCTTGGCTCTGGACAAAAGGACTTTGTCCAATACCCTGATATATCTTGACCAGCTATCCCCAGCTTGTCTGGCTCAGTTCTCTTCCCAGTCCCTCAGGTGAGCCTCCTGCATGATATGAAAGCACCAGCCGGTGCTCAGTCTCCAAAAGTCAGGATAAGGGGCCGCCAGGTCCACTTGGCCTCAGATAGCTCAGCCTGGGCTCTGCCAAAGTAAACAGGATGCTTTGGCTTCCCAAGGGGATGGAGTAGCTTCTCAGGGTTCCTGCAGAGTTAGGACCCCTTAGGCCATTGGCCTCTCCTCCACCATCCCACCTGCCCAACCTTGAGAGAGGCTATTATTGAGCATGGCAGGAGAGGGCTGGATGCCCTGAGGACCACACATATTCCCTAGACTGTCAAAATATTTTGTTCATTCATTGACTACTCTCTCAGCAAATATTTACTGAACACTTACTGGGTACTTTGCATACCTTACCTTGGCTCTGTTCAACAACCTCAAAGTAAGTGCCTGGCATGCACCAGTTGCTGAATAAATATTTGTGCAAAAAGTCAATGAATGAATAAAAGGTTGGTATTACAAAGAGTCAAGAATACTACAGTGCCTGAGAGATGGTCTCTCCTGCCAGCTGGCCCGGGTTCAAACTGCAGCTCTGACATTGCATAGCTGTGTGACTTTGGGCAGGTTCATTAATTCTCTGTGCTCCAATGATCCCCACCTGACAAGGCTGTTGCAAAGATGTGATGTATTCACACATGCACAGCAGATAGTACTGTTTTTGTAGTTAGTAATAATAAATATCAGCTATTATTATTACCCACATGTATACCACCGGATGCAGAGGTTTAGCAGCTTGCCCTGGTGACCCAGCAAAGATGTGTCAAAGGTTGCATTCCCCCCAGATCATCTGAACAGAAGATCGTGTGCTTTTCATTCCACTCACAACCTCCCTTAGACATTTAAGAAGATGTTAAAGTTCTCTTTCCATTCTGGTTTTCTCAGAAATAGTACCTTAATTTTCCTATTCAGATCTACTTTCTCAGTGAGATTAAATATGGGCCAACCTTGTCCCAGATCCTCCTGCCAGGTGCCTTTCCTGGGAACCCTCCCCATTGAGCCCCCACCCAGGTGAGAGCTGAGCCAGAGGAGCCTGTCCCCTCTGCCTGCCCGCCTGGTCACCACTTGACTGGCCTAGTGGGGAAGCCCCCAGTCGGTTCCTCTACACGTCTCTGCTTTCCCTAAACCCTTTGTAGTGGTAACAATAACGCAACAACCAGCACCAGCTGAGTGCTTAGCATGTGCTGAGCTCTTCATTTCATTTTCATGCACCCCTGTGAGGCACTCGGGCTTGGGCACTGGAGCCAGACAGCTTGGACTTGGTTCCTGGCTCTGTCACTTTCTAGCCCTATAACCTGGGACAGGTTACACAGCCTTTTGCAGCTGTAAAATGGGGGTAATAACAGGACCTACCCCATAAGGCTGTTGTGAAGACTGGATGATTAATCTCTATAAAGAATAGTGCCTGGTACATGGTTAGCACGATAGACATGTTAGCTGGGAAAAACTGATTGAGAAAATACACTCCTATTCCCATTTTATAGTTTGGAGAGGGACCTGCCCAGAGGCAGGTGCTCACGGGCTGCAGAGTGAGGAGAGGACCCCAGGCAGGCTGAGGTCCTCCCCACGCTGCTCCACAGTGCTCCCTGGAGTCCCGAGTGGTGCCGGGGCCTGACCACGGCTTTGTCCCCACCCCAGCTTCCCATGGGAGCCCCACACTGAGTGCTTGAGGCTGCTCTCACCTGATGTTCCCCAGTGTGGCAATGATGGTGCCCAGGCCCAGCCCGTGGGCCAGGGCTGGCTGCAGCAGCCCAGTGTCCAGCCCATTCTCGATGACAGACAGGCAGCCGATGAAGATGAAGAGGGCAGAGCCCAGAAGCTCAGCCAGGCAGGGCTGCACCAGCCGCTTGTACCGGGACACACGCCACCTGTCACCTACACTCGGCTCCTTCACCTTGACATTGCCAAAGTCACACATAGCTACCTGCCGCAGGGAAAAGGGACAGTGGATATGGTTAGCAGGAGAGCCCAGACAGGCCCTGACCCCCAACCTTGAATTCATTCGCAGCCACCCCTCGCTGTGCCAGGCTGCAGAGGAAGAAGCGGCAGTGGGCTCACCTCTACAGACATCGGGATAGGTTGGCACAAGCCCCAGGATCTTGCCTGAACTGCTGGGAAACCCGTACCTGTTGTCCTGGGCACTCTTGTCTCCGCTGGTCCCACACTACAGGCTCTGCCTCTTTTAAAGGGCTGCAGAGGGTCACGGACAGTGCTTAGAAGCCAATAAAGTCCTCATGGGTGGTGGCCCTGAAGCCCAGAAGAAGAAACTTTATTTCATCTCGCCAGGGCAGGGCTGGGGTGGGGAGTCAAGGATTACTAAGCTTCCTGCCAATGAGGGGAAAGGCAGCGGCTTGGCTACGTCACCTGGACAGGACGCACCAGGCCTTGCACTCCATCTCTCCATGGTTCACGTAAGGCCAGCATGTGTCAGAGGGCATGCCGAGAGCCCCACCACATTTGGACCTCTCAGGTTGAGAAACAGCAAAGGCATGTCCGATTGTTTTTTCCCAGATTCCCACAGGCATCTCCTTCTACCTGAGGCCCCAACACCTGCCCTCCCCAGGATGGCCTGACCCAGAACCCAGTGGCAGAAGATGATCCCCCACTGGGTGAAGCAGCACAGACTAGCAAAAGGCCACATGGTGCGGTGATACCACTTTGGAAACCGGCTTCCTGGATTTAAATCCCAGCTCTGCTGTGAACCAGCACGTGCCTCAACCTCCCTGCACGTTCGTTTTCTCCTCTGTCAACCGTGGGTGGTAGTGACAGTAGCCATGTCACAGGGTCGTTGTGCGGTTTAAGTAGGCTAATATTTGTAAAGTGCTCAAGACAATGCAAGACATAATAAGCACAATACCAGTGTCCATTAATTTAGAATATATTCTTAGGTATAACTAATATTTATTGAGCATGTGCTATGTGCCAGGCACTGGGCTAACTACTTTTTATATTGTATTTAAAGCTCACAGCAGCTCTATGAGGTAGGTACTATTATTATAATCATTTTGTAATTGAAAGTGGAGTTTCAGGAAGGTTGACTTTCCCAGGATTATACGGCTTATATGATCACAAAACTTGTGGGTTGTCACAAAAGGACACATACTGTATATGATTCCACTTATATGAAACACCAATACTAGTCAAATTCATAGACACAGAAGGCAGAATGGTGGTTCCCAGGGGCCGGGGAGAAGGGAGAAAGGGAAGTTAGTGTTTAACTGGTACAGATTTTTTGTTTGGGATGATGAAAAATTCCTGGAGATAGGTGATAGAGATAGTTGCGTAACAATGTGAATAAGACTCAATGTAACTGACCTATAAGCATTTTAATTTAAAAATGGTAAATTGTATGTGTATTTTACCACAATTGAAAAAAAGGAAAGCCTGTGGGCTAAGCCACTACATTCTACTGCCTTTCTAGGATGGATGCGTGGATGGATGGATAGATGGGTGGATGGACGGAAGGATGAAGGAAAGCTATGGAGGGAGCAAGGGAGAGATGGGTTTCTTTATTCTTTCATTCTCCAAATGTGTAAATAGCTACTGTGAGACAGTCACTATTCTAAGGGCTGGCTGGAGATGTAGCCGTAAACAAACAAGCGAGGATTCTGCTCTGTGCTCATAGCTATGATCCGAGTGTTTGTATGTCTAGCTAGAGACAGAAATAATGTTACAGATAAGGGAATTTTAAGGACCATTTCTATCATTACTGACTACACGTCCAACACTGTGCTAAGCACTCTGCACATGTTCACAACAACCTTATAAGTTCCATTACTTCTTATCCCCATCTTCAGGTGAGAAAAACGAGGCACAAATACGGCAAAGAACTCACCCGTGTTTGTGTAGATGAAAAGTATCTGTTTCAGGACCGACATGGATATATCTAGACATAGTTGGGACAGTTTGTTGACAGCCTTTCTCAGCATGAAGCTTGGGAATCCAGGACTTCTGTTGAACATCTTCTCACCTTAGATAGTTTCAAAATCTGCTTTCTTCCAGTTATCTTTAGCTCTATTCTCTCCCTCCCACGACATGTGGTTTGAGATGTTTCTTAGACCTTCCTTCAGATGCCCTGTAAATAGCAACCAAGACAGTCATCCAACCCTCAGCTTCTCTGTCTTCCTCATTCTTTGCTGAATTCTTGCCATAATTCTCTCCTGTTTTCACCCAGGCCTTCATCAGTGTTTGCTTAGTCCCTTGAGAAAAATCAAACTAACATTCATTATACACATTCCAGATACACCTTCCATTATACACCTTCCCACACTGGACACCTCAGATACATCCTCTCATTTCATACTTACAGTGTGAAGTATTACTATTATTTAACCCACTTCACAGCAGGAACTCCCTGCTGGAGTGGATTGCTACAATAACTCCTCATCTGGTCTCCTTGCCTCACCCAACCTCCATCCATTCCTTTCACACTGGGAGCCAGCAGGGCACAGTGGGTAATGGTGGTCCCCATCCCCATAGGGATTTTGTGTGTATGAAATGAGGCAATGTACTTAGCACAGTGCCCAATTCAGAGCAAGTACCCAAGAAATAGCAGCTCTTGTTTTGGTTTGTGTTAGAGTAGGCTAAGTGCTTTAAAAAAAAAAAAAGGAAAAACAAACAAAAACAAAACCAACATTGCAATCACGTAGCACAATAAAAGTTGATTCTTTACTCACATAATAGTACATAGCAGGCTCTTCACCAAATGATGACTCAGGGTGATTCAGGGATCCAGACCACTTCCATCTTGGAGCTTCCCCATCTAAGTCCTTGAATATCATCCAGCAAATAGAGAAAGAGACAATATGGAGGGTTTTGCAGGAGGTTATTATAGATTGGACCTAAAAATGGTAAATATCTGTTTCATCTATATTTGATGGGCTAGAACACAGTCACATTGCTTTCCCTGACTGCAAGTGATCAGGGAGATGTAGTCTAGCCATGTACCCCGAGGAAAAGAAATGAATACCATGCAATTTCTACCACATGGTAGTTGTTATTCCCCAGACCATTCTTGCAGTTGGGTCCTTCCCTGACTTAAAACTTTTCAGCATCTCCCATGGTTTCAGGACAAAATCAAACTCCCTTTGCAAGCCACACAGGCATTAAGTCCTAGCCCCACTTTTTTTCTTGCCATATGAACCTGAAACACTTTCTCAGATGAGCCAGGTACACTCACCCTCCCTGTCCATGCCACCCCTCTGTTTGGAGTCTTCATTTGCTTTCTTGGCCAACTTTCTATGCCTTATTCAAATCTCAGATCAAAAATCTGATCTCCTCCCTGACTCCTGGTCCAACTAGATGTTAGTCCTCTGGATAAGCCCCTCCTTCACTAGAGGAAAGGTTGGATTCCATAGAGCTCCAAAATCAGTGGATCTGCAGAAAGTCTAAATATTATTCAAGCAAAATAACATATTTTCACTGCATGAGAATTTTTGCATGGCCTCATGTTCATACACAATGTACTGGTCTCCCCCAAAACCATTACAATACCCAGTGGGCTAAGGAGATAGTATTTTCCTAAGAAATTCTTTGGCTGGAAAACTTTCAGTTTCCCAATTCCAGGTCTAGTTGACATGACCAAGGCTGCTAATTTTTATCTGTGTGTGAATGGCAACAGTTCAAGACATCTCTTCATCTACACCCACCCTGTCTTCCGACTACTACCAGGAACAGATGGAGAATGGAATATTACATTTTACCAAGGCACATTGCCCTTCACTCCTTTCTTGAAGTTGACAACTGCTACACTGTTATGCATAAATGTGATACTGGGGCCATGGCAGCCATCTTGAGACCATGAGGTGCAACTACCCAGCGGGTGGATCCTTGATGACATCACCATGTCACTAGACCAACCCCAAGACCACCTACTCCAGACTTCATGTTACATTAAGCTGCAGTTTCTAGATTCTGTGCCAGGGCACCCAGGGAACTACAGTGCACTCACAGAGGGGCTCTGGATATTTTAAACTTTAAGAAAAAGACAGTAAAAAAAAGAGAGAGAGAGAGAGAGAGAAACACAGTGATGCTCAATGTCTGTCAGACACCATAGGATCTACTAGCTCAATAATTTACTGTTTTAATGTTATATGGCCCTATATTCCTTTCAGTGACAGTATATCTGTGTGATGCTGGTTTTATGGCAGTTGCCATCATAAAATTTAAGGACTCCGCAAAAACCAATGTGAAACAGGAAATGAGGTGGCAGAATCCCATATGATTCTAAGGTCTATGAATTTATGCAGTGCTCCATTGGCACACCCAGCCCACGTTAAGTAATCATAGTATTTAAGAATGAAAGTTAAGCCAGACACAGTGGCTCACGCCTGTTGCCCTAGTGCTTCAGGAGGTCACGGTGGGAGACTTACTTGAGGCCAAGAGTTCAAGACAAGCCTGGGCAATAGTGAGCCCCTGTCTCTACAAAAATACGAATATAATCCTGGCATAGTTGTGTGCACCTGTGATCCCAGCTACTTGGGAGGCTGAGGCAGGAGGATCACTTCAGCCCAGGCATTGGAGGCTGCATTGAGCTATGATTATGCCACTCTACTGTAGCCTGGGTGACAGAGCAAGACACTGTTTGAAAAAACAAAACAAACAAAATGAATGTTATTCAATAACTCAAATAAATTGAGTTATTTATGTATAGTTATTTAAGAATGAAATATAACAAAATATATGCATTTTTTCAATGTATATTATTCAATGTATGTGTATTTTCAGTGTATGTGTAGTATTGTTTATGCACACTGTATGATAATGTTTTCAAAGGGAGTAGAGAGAAAGCATCACAGGAAATGTACATTATGTGTACTGGTTAGCAACTGGATGAATTTCACAAACACAAAGATGCCAGACACCGAAGAATACATGAACGAATGAAGAATGAATGTATAATATTTTTTCAATGTACATATGTTTGGTTTTTTTCCCAAATGGCTACTAAGTTGTTAGAACATAATCACTTTTTAAGTATTTTGGACCTCACTACTTAATAAACAGAACTATTGAGTATTCTTTTTGGGCTCTGTGCAGAGTGAGCCAAGCAAGTTTGGGGACCTGAAATAAACAATGTGTATGTCCTTTGATTTCAAGTACGTACAGGAGAGAACATCTCTAGCAGATATATCATCTGCAGTATTCCAGGCATACTGGGTTTTCAGTTTAATAATTTCTTCTTGAAACTGGCCACCATTTATAATGCAGAGGCTTCATAATTTAGGCTGACCCTGAGATTTGTGCTCTGTGGACAACCATGGAAACATAAAGCAAAAGCTCTCATTCTCTTTTGAAACTGTGGCTTTACTTCTATCTAAATAATCATTTTCAGTTTATGATCACTTGGCGCTCAGGGCAACTTAGGTGCTGGAAATGAGTCTGGTTTTTACCTGCCTGCTCAAGTTGCAGCATTAGTTTGAACCTGAGCAACTTCCTTCCTCGTGGAAGTCACCGGCACCTTCTTTTCTCCTCTGCAGTGTCAAGTTCAAAGTGTTGAAGGTCTTTTAAATCACTAGTAAGCAAACATGTCGGCTATTGCAGAGCCCTTTATAGCCAGAAAGTCCTTAAACTAAAAAAGCAGTCCACTACATCTCGTCAACAATGATCCATCTTCTCACTATCTGCATGTTTTGAACAACAACAAATGGCTACAATTTACTGAGAACTTACTGGGAGCATGACACTAGGAACAAATTTTATGGGAATAATCCGAATAATCCCATGGCATCTCTTCTTTCCCTTTTATCTTTTCTTCTACTATCCAAATTCAATAACTCTAGAGAAGAGGAAGTCTAAATATCCAATAAATGTAAAAAGACAATCTCTGGAGTAGCCAGAAAAATTTCAAATTAAAGCAACAGAAATAACATTTTCACCATTAGATCTGTAGAAAAAGTTTTAAGCTAATTAATATCCATTGCTGACAAAGGTGGAAGAAGCATGTAAACTCACACATTGCTGATGGATGTAGGAATTGCTGCAGTATTTTGTAACACAATCTTGTAATATTTATTCAATATTCAGATACATATATCTCTCTACCCAGCAAGCCTCAAATTTGGAAATGTAACTTGCAGAAACAAAAGCTCCATTAGGTAAGAGTATACATTATACATAGAGGGACATTGGTTTCATCATTGTTCATTGTTGAAGGGACTGGAAACAATCTGCGTGGCCATAATTATGGAAACAGTTGATCTAAATAGGGAATAGCTACTCCAGAATGAATGTCTACTTCCAATTTCCTGGATATCCCATAGTTTAAGTCACATCACATTATAGAGACATCAGTCTCTTTCTTCTACCCAAACTGCTCCCTCAATCTGGTGAAATCCTATTCATCCTTCAACTCTCAGCTAACATACAATAATTTTTTTTGTTCTAACAGCTTTATTGAGATATAATTGATATACTGCCCTTAAGATTTGATAATGTTTCTGTTTTGTTTTGCTTGAGACAGAATCTCATTCTTTTGCCCAGGCTGGAGTGCAGTGGCCCAATCATAGCTGGCTTCTAACCTTGAATTCATAGGTTCAAAAGATCCTTCTAGCTCAGCCTGCTGCATAGCTAGGACAACAGGTGTATTCCACCACACCCAGCTAATTTTTTGCACAGACAGATTCTGGCTATATTGCCCAGGCTAGTCTTGAATTCCTGCCCTTAAGTGACCTTCCAGCCTCAGCCTCCCAAAGTGCTAGGATTACAGGTGTGAGCCACGTGTACACCGTGTGATAATGTTTTCAAAGGGAGTAGAGAGAAAGCATCATAGGAAATGTAAATTATGCGTACCGGTTAGCAACTAGATGAATTTCACAAATGCAAAGATCCCAGACACCAAAGAGTACATACTGTGGATCATAAAGCTCAAACCTTTGTAAAGCTGAACATGCTATTAGCTTTGGGAGGTAGTTGCTGGCCAGAGCTCTTGGAGACTTTTGGAGTATTCTTGCCTCTATTTCATGATATGGACGGATAAATTCACTTTGTGAAAATTCATAGAGCTGTTAATAGAATTTGTATACTTTACTTTTTCTTTTTCTTTTTTATTTAGACAGAGTCTCACTCTGTTGCCCGGGCTAGAGTGTCGTGGCATCAGCCTAGCTCACAGCAACCTCAAACTTCTGGGCTCAGGCGATCCTCCTGCCTCAGCCTCCTGAATAGCTGGGACTACAGGCATACACTACCATGCCCAGCTAATTTTTTCTATGTATCTTTAAGTTGTCCAGCTAATTTCGTTCTACTTTTTAGTAGAGGTGGGGTCTCGCTCTTGCTCAGGCTGGTCTCGAACTCCTGAGCTCAAATGATCCACCTGCCTCTGCCTCCCAGAGTGCTAAGATTACAGGTGTGAGCCACCTCGCCCGGCCAGAATTTGTGTACTTTTCTATGTGCATGTTATACTCAAATACAAAGTTAAAAATGAAACCAGTCTATTCTTAGGAAGTTACCTTCTAGACATAATCAAAAGGAAATCTGCAGGTGGATCCATGGCACCTAAGAACACAATACCAAATTCAATCTCTTTGACATCAGCAATAATATTTTGCCATCATAAAATGTAATTATAAATATAAGCAAAGTTAGCCTTTACTAGGAAATTGTTATCAATAACAATAAATGTGAACAGCCGGGAAGTTCTAGCCCAGGCCTTGTACTGAGCATTCAGCAAATATTATTCTGTATATTCCTCACGGCAGTCCTAAGGTAGACATTGCCAGTTTGCAGACAGGAAACAAAAGTGCAAAGACCTGCTGACTCACTAAAGGCCATATACAATCAGTATCTGTCAGTTTGCTAACTCCAAAGACTATACTTTTAAGAGGTAAAATATCTCTACAAGAGGTAAACTACCTAAAAACAGAAACCAATATCTTTTGACAGACTCATTTAGTTCTGTTTCAATTGTGAAAATGGACTGCAGGATGAGGAAATACTCCCGTGGGGCAGAGTTAGGGGAACGGATCTTGGCCTTAATTAAGGATCTTCTCCGTATTTATTTTATTCTCGTCTTCTCAAGAACTTCTAACTTCTTCAAAAAACAAATAACCTAGAACCTGGGCAACATAGTGAGACTCTGTCTCTAAAAAAATTTTTTTTACAAACTAATGGGTTATGCTGGCATGTGCTGATAATCCCGGTTACCTGGGGAAAATTTGAGCTTCTGGCTCTGGCAAAGGACTTTCCCAATCTCTGATTAAGCTCTAGACTTTGCTAGCTAATTTAATCTGCTGATTACCACCTAGCGGCCTAGATGCCCAGATCACTATCATTTGGGATGACATGGAGCTGTTGGTGTCTTAGCATGGCTGCAGCTGGGACACAGAAACCCCTTGTAAGTTGCTGGTTTGGCTGGCCA